GATGATGATGATGATGATGATGATGATGATGATGATGATGATGATGATGATGATGATGATGATGATGGTGATGGTGATGATGAAAAATGGTCAGTGAAAAGAAATTCAAACCGACGCCTGGTTACCTCTTAAAGAGTCGTCAGTTTCGGGTAGAATGGGAGCCTGAGTTTTGTTGCAAAATGCATTGTTTGTTGTTGTAAATTTAAAAATGGCTGGCCCTTCAGTTGAAAGAAGAAGTCTACATTGTAGACTAACCTTGGGCCTTCCTTCGTTCATTTCCAAGTACAGGTCTTCCCCCTCCCCCACCCCACCAGCCCTTAAAGTGAAGTATTCTCTCTAACGCATGATAAAAGAAAAAGAACAAAAGTCTACTCAGCAGTTCAAGGGAACCCCTGTTAACAGTGGCTGCGGCCGCACTTATCGAGTAAACCTGGTTATTTTTTGAATAACCTGTTCAAAAATTCTTTAAAACGTAACCTGGCTAAAAGACTTTAACCGGGGTAAAGAAAAAAGGAGGAGGTAACAAAATAATTTTCGAAAATGCAGCGCTTGAGCGCATGACAAAGCCCTAATTCGGATAATTCTCACGCGGAGGCATAGACTGACTGAATGATTGATAACGTTAACCTGCGTTAAACTACAGGCAAGGTAGCTTAAAAGAACCTGACCCAGTTAAGAAAATCTATTGTTCTTGCGAGATTAATGCATGACCCAGGTAAAACTCCGTTAAGACACAAAATGCACGGCCGCACTCGCACTTTTGTAGACCGCTTAATTGTGATGAGTTAATTAGAAATAACTCGGTTATGTCCCCTGTTACGGCTTCATCCAATGTCCGTGGATTATACACTTAAAATAAATACAAGGGCTTGCACCCTGTACGCCTATGTTAGGAGTGGCTGCTACTCACGAAGAATCTACCCGATTTTAGTTAAAAACTCTTGGTGGGAAATAGAAAACAAATAAGGCCCAAAAGCAGAATATAACTCAGTACCGAACTATAAGCCCTTTGACACCCTTACAAGCATGTTGAAATTCCTAGGTTTTAATAGCTAAATCAACAACAGTGCGAAAACTAAAGAAAATTAAGTCGAGATATGACCGATACTCACGTGGAGTGAAAGTCACGTTGATATGCATAAACTGGCCGGGTGTAATAACCGGTTTGAAGCTCAAATGCACAGTCGTGTCTTTAGGACCTTTACAAAGCAAAACAAAATTTATAATATTATTATTATTGCCAACGAAGCAGCTGAGCTAAGAAGCGACAATTCATTATGCCGCGCAATGTATTGGAAATATTCTCAAATCTGCGTAACCCTCTTTTTTTTTGTCCATATTTGGGTGTAAGTAATACCCCATATTTGGGCAGTGATGTCACGGTCTTGCATTTACTCCTCGTGGCGCGATGCCGGATGATCCTGTGTGTAAGTGTTGGTCGTGGACTTTGGATTGCATTTGTTGAGTTGTTACTGAGGACCTAACGGGTGAGCAAGCTTACGATTTCTTGTTTGAAAGGGCTATTAGTGTCCTGCTTTGTAGCAGCTAATCAAGGAATACGGCTCAACGCTCAAAGCAGTTTGTCAGAACTAGCGTGTTTTTTGCAGCTGGATTTACATTGAGCTAGCCCTCGACTCCCGTGAGGAGTGCAAGAAATTTGCGGACCTTTTGTTTTAGAGAATATCTTAATGTCTTTCGAGAGAATTTTGTCAGAACCAGCGTGTTCTCCGCAGCTTGGTTTACATTGAGCCAGCCCGTAACTCCCGTAAGGAATGTAACAAATTTGTGGATCTTTTGTTTTATAGACTATCTATATGCCCTTAGGGAGACTATTTGTCCCGTGACACTGTACTCGCTCATTAGATCGTTGTCTTTTATTTAATTTTACATTTTTATACCTCTCATACCTACTTCGCCCCATTATTACGCTTTTCACATATTTTACTTTACATTATTTTTTTTTCTTTTTCATATATTTAACTCCATGCGGAATATTTTTCTCATCCCTGATAAGGCCTCATTCGAGCAATATATTACTTTCAAACGTTTCTAGTTTTGTTGATGCAATGGAATTTACCATGAAACATATCAGAGCTAACTTGCTCCAGTTTACCAACAGAGTATCAAGCCATGTTTTTGTTAAGGTGGCTCGATACAATAATTCTGTAGCGACATCTTCCATCTTTGAATGTCTTATATTTAATCAATTTGATCTTTATGGTAAAACCATTATAACACATGTATAGCACATAGAGTAAACTTTATTATGATATTATTTTTACTTTGCAGGTCGCTAAGGCCACGCGCGGAACACGCGATTCGCGCGCAATGAGATTATAAACTCGCTTTGCGAGAATTATCGTTGTTGTTATTTTTATCCCTACTTTAAGTTGTAGTTAAAAATTCAACGCTCGTTAACCATCATGACTATCACTTACCGCAATACTTAATATATTTGATTTCCATCCCAAAGGCCAACACCCCATACCCCAAGAGAAGGTTTGCAAGCAGAAACTGGGTCTTCATGGCGTATCCTGTGTTTGTAAAGATATGAGAATTTCAAGGCCAAAAAAAAATTAACATAAACGCAGATATGCGATCGAAACTGAAAGTTGCCTTCGGCTTGAATATTATGTTGAAGCAAATTGGCCCTCGTTCCTGAAGAAATTTGAATGTTTCTTTAAGCTTGCAATGAAATGGCCATTGGTTTTGTGTCACATCCTGCAATTGGGTTCTATTAGGCCTGTCTCAAGTTTTTATTATGATTATGATTATTATTTCTTGCATTCCGATCGCATGTCTAATCAAGAGAATTCTGATATGCATAATATTCCACAAAGGTTTTGTTGTAATTTACATGTGTATTTTATTCTGAACGCAGATTACCTTATGTAACATTGCCAACATTGTTACACTGTCTCGACATACCAACCTTCAACACACATTTTGCTGGCTCTTCAACCAAATCATTAGTCATGCTTTTAAACAGACACTACAAAAGCTATTTGAGATGATGAGTTATTAATATATCTCTCTATCTGGTTTTTTTTTTCAAAAATACACTCCTGCTCATTTATCAAAGATTACTGGAAGGTTAAATACGTCATTTCGACAAACTCGGGTATTTTGCTTTATTTAAGTTTAACTTGATATTCTAAAGTAGTAATTGTCTGGCAAAATATCGCTGTTCTTAAGAAGTTCTTACCAAACGCCCTTGTAAAGGAATGAATTATAGAAGCATTATTTAGAAATGCCTTAAATTTAACCACTTTTTTGTTTTATCTGGTAAAATTTAGTTCTCAGGGCATAATTCCCTCCAAAAGTGATTCGTATATAGTTTTGTTTTCTGCACACACATTATAAATTTTGACTAAATATTAAATCTTCTTTTTGCCGCACTAAGTGAGTGAGAATTTTAGTTTCTTTGGTTTTCTCCAAAATGCCTGGGTCTGGATAAGTACATGCATGTAGCTTCTTTTTCCGTGTCAATGTGATAATAGGGAGCTTAAGATGCGGACGTTTTCGCGGTGACGGCGACGTGACAGCCCAGGTGGACTGGGCCAGAGATTGCCCATCTCGCGCCAAAATTGATTTGCTTAAGATTCTCATGACGGCGTCCGAGACTTCGTCGAGTACATCGGCTGTACTTTCTGAAATTCAATCGCTTTTGTTTGTAGCATGGCCGCATTTGAAGATTTTCGACAACTTCTCATTCTTTACTACGACGCTAATTTGATCAACGATGAAGATTTCGTTCTCCTTTACGACATGTTTCCGTCGAGAAATCCAAGTTTTCCTTACTACGAGTACGCTTGCTTTGACCTGAACAACATGAGTGAGGCAGAGTGTAAGGCCGAATTTAGGTTTGAGAAAAAAGACCTTCCGACTCTGGCAGAAGCCTTGCAGATCCCACCATCCTTCAAACTACGCCAGGGAAGCATAGTAAGTGGAATGGAAGGCCTTTGCATACTCCTAAGACGGCTCGCCTATCCTTGTAGATTTGGCGACATGGTACCTCGTTTCGGCAAACCAGTACCGGTGCTATCCATGGTCACAAATCATGTGATTGATTATATTTACACCATCCATGGACATCGCATAACCCGCTGGAATGACGCACTGCTTAACCCACCTGCATTGGATACTTATGCTCGATCAGTTCACGCTAAAGGGGCTGCTCTCCAGAACTGTTTTGGCTTTGTTGATGGCACTGTGAGACCTATAGCCAGACCAGACGAGCACCAGAGGATGATGTATAATGGTCATAAACGGGTGCACGCCATTAAATTCCAATCTGTTGCCTTACCGAATGGATTGATCGCAAACCTTTACGGCCCCGTAGGTAAAGATCTTTTTAACTTGCTCTTATTTATAACTAAATGTCAGGTTTATGAAAAGAGCAACTCAAACGGAAAAGGTACAAACATGGTTTCGGAGGGTAGTTGTTTTCCCCTTCAAGTGTCTGTTTTATAGTATAATCTACGACAAACGCCTTTAGTGATCAGGGCAATGAAAGAAGCGTTGCATGATGAAAAACAATGATATTCCATGAAACAAACCTAATACTTTTAACTTCTTCTTCCAGAGGGCAAAAGGCATGATGCAGGTATGCTGGCAGAATCTGGACTCTTGCATGACTTGGAACGCCATGCATTTTCGACAGGGGGTCAGCCTCTATGCATATATGGGGATCCTGCATATCCCCTCAGGGTTCACCTGCAAGGACCATTCCAAGGTGCTGCTCTCACACCTCAGATGGAGATGTTCAATGGATCCATGAGCTCTGTTCGAGTGTCAGTGGAGTGGCTATTTGGAGACATTTTAAACTATTTTAAATTCCTTGATTTTAAAAAGAACCTAAAAGTTGGCTTAAGTAATATTGGTAAAACATATGTCGTATGTGCTCTCATGCGAAATGCCCTAACATGCCTATATGGTAATCAAACCTCAGAATTTTTTGAATTAGACCCCCCAAGCCTCCAGGAGTATTTCAGGTGACTTTAAACATTCGCTATATTTATTCGGTTACTGCCTGAATATACACTGAAGCAGCGATAGTCACACAACTGGTTAACACTTTCCTCCCAGAATCAGCCCTGGGGGGTGGGGGGAGGGGGTGGTGGTCCTTTAGGATTTTTTGTGTGGGGATGTCCTGCTGGGACCCTGGAACCCTTAACCTATACCAGAGCTAATTCAGCTGAATTTTGCTACCTTCTACTAGACTTAACTTCCCAAAATCCCCTTGCCACTATCCTAGAGTAGCTTTTCGGCTAAGTTGCTAAAATTCAAACTTGTCGATTTGATTTTTATTTTTAGTGGCAATTCCTGGTTTCCCTAATCTAGACTAAAACCTCCCTGCCCACCCCACCCCCCCTCCCTGCTTTGGGAAACAGCACACCTATAAAAGATCATACATTGTATTATACAAAGCAGACATATTGTTCCACAAAAAATAAAAGCAGTTGTTACTATTTGCATCCACTTATACAACAAATGGCATGCCATTTAGTTCAATGCTCAGTTGTTCAAAAGTCAGATAGTGTTACCCAGCACATAAATCACTATAACGATTTCTTTAGAGGAGGAGCACTTTCCGCCATTTGAACAACTGGGCCCAGTTTAATGCTGATAAAGGCAAGTACTTTCAAAGTTGAGGCATCTCTAATATCAAGTTTAACAACTTATACATTGTTTACACAAATGTAAGTATTGAAGAAATAAACCTTTTCACAATACAATAATTTTTGTCAGTTCAAAAAATCAAATCAAATTTATATTTTGCAAGGTAGTCAGGGCTTTCAATAATCACTTGACTCAATTTAATATATGACATATTTTCATAGCCTGTATTCTGATAGGGTAATCACCTGATTGACACATGCATAATACAGCTAAATTCAAACTGGATCAATGAAACTAAAAAAAAATGTGATTATGATAATGATAACTCAACAATCAACTACCACTCCAGCAGAAATGGAGTTAAAAGAACAGTTGAATGCAAAATTATGTCACTAACAAGAGAAAAATTACAAGGGTGCCATAGTTGAAAAAGAGAAGTTGCAATAAAAAATGTTAACGCTTTTCCTTGGGAGCCAACCTCTCAATCAAAGCTAACATAGCCTGTGATTGCTGCTGCTGCTGGTTTAACATAGACTGCATAAACTGTAGTGTTTGCTGTTGGTTTCTTTGCTGCTGTCTATGCTGTTCTTCTTGTTGTTGCTGAATAATCTTTAGCATATCTTGCTGCATTTTTGTTTGCTGCTCTGATATACGAGATCCTCTTGCCTCTTCCTGCTTTCTTATTTCAATTTCTTCTCTTTTTAATGCCATCTCTTCTTCTGCTTTCTTTTGCAAGTATCCAATAGCATCTCCTGTACTTTTCCTGCTTTTCTTTGCTGGAACCACTCCATTTGTTTTCTCCACCCGTTTTTGAGTTTCTCCCATGGTTTTCATTGCCTTGAACCGCATTTCTTCAGCTGTTGCCTTCTCTTTCTGAAGGCTTTGCTTTTTGTTGCCAGTTGAAGGCTTATTTTTAGCTTCTTCCTCTTTTTCACACAGCTCCTCCCGCAGAGTATCTATCTCTTGTATTTCTGGACTAATACCACTTGCTCTTTCTTCCTCCCTATTTTTTGCTTTGAATTTGGACATTAGAAGATTGATTCAACGACCTTTTGCTCACATTGAATTTGCATTGGGTGAGGTTATTGAGTCTTGTGGCAATCTCATCCCACAATTTTCCTCTCTCCGGGCTCCCCTTTCTGGTTTCAAAAAGATCTGATCCCCTGACCTCTCTCAAAAATAATGTATCATGTTGATTTGTCCACTCCATTGTGCTGAAAGAGGGAATTTATTTATTGAAGTTTATTATTTATTTTGAAGTTTATTTTAGCATTTTATTTCAAAAACTGTGGAAACAGTAGTTTTCCTCTTCCAGACTGAGTCCTTGTATTGATTTATTGAATATTTGCTGGATGAAATTGTTCTGTTTAATACGCACTGTACGTATCCACATAAATTATTGCTCTAAATTCACAGCACTTCATCGAAGAAATATTTCAAGCGTGGTTATACAAGCCTTAAGAGTACATTTACATATCGATGAGCTATGTAGTGGATTTGTTGGCTAAGTGTAAAAAAATTCAGAACAAAATATTTATCTCTGCACTTTTTAGCAGCCTCCAGAACTCCAAAATTCTTCGGGGGCACCCAACGGGAAATTTTGAGAAAAAGACCTAAAAACAACAACAAAGCGTGAATAAAGTTTTCTGAGACTATTTTAAGCATTTTGGGAGATTGCTGGAAAAAAAATTATCTGTTCCTCACTCCCAGCAAGACTGATGGAAGAGTTCCCAGCCAGCAAACTCACAACCTCCAACCCGACTTACTGGGAAGTTTCATAGGGCACAATTCAGATCTTGAGTGGTAAGTAACCCATAAAAGTTACCCGTAGCAGCTATTCTAGACTTCAAATCCCCTCTCACACCCTGAATTATCTTTTTCCCAGCAACACTTTCCTTCCAAGGACTATTATTTCTTCCACATCTCCCAGCCAGCAAAAATGTGCCTGAAGAACAGATATTTTGAGGAACAGATCCATTGGGTGCCCCTGATTCTTTATCGCCTAAGACAATTCGGATTCAATATGCTACTAAGAAATAAAAAAATGTATTGGAGTCAGTAAAATATATTATATATATAATTGTTTTACAAGAAAAAATTCGTTGAACGTAACAGCTTATTTATCTTTACAGACTTACTTAGATTGTTTTGTCTTCACTGAACTAGCTTCAGAGTCTTCGGTCATTTTCCTGAGTTTTATCTGTGAAGAGAGCACAAAAAGCCGCTAGAGTTACTTGGCACATCCCCAGGTGGTTTGTGCTAATAAAGAAACTGAAAAAAAAGCAAGGAATGAAGAATACAAGAAAGAAATAGCGGTATAAATACTCACGTTTTCACTGCGACGGCAAAATCCCCAAACTGACGTCGCCGACGTGAGGGCGACGGCGGGAATGTTGGAAATCGCATGCGCAGTTAAACTCGCCCCAATCCTAATCGGTCTTTACGTCGCCATCGCGTGGAGAACGTCCTCATCTTAAGCTCCCTAATGCTAGTTTGGCTCTCATTTCACCGTAAGTGTCACGCGCCGGTTGTTATTATCGGCTCGCGTTTCACTGTTGGTCATTAATTTATTAACAATTCGAGAAAGAGTGGTTCTTCACGTGTTTAACTACAGCTATCGAGACTCGGTATCAGAAACGGCCAATTATGGTAGTCTGGCGAAGGCAATGGAAAAGGCACTTAATTGTTGCAATTATGCATTGCCGATAGCGAATTGGACAAGCACAAGCCTTTTGATCGCTGTACAGGAAAGATTCCCAGAAGTAAAAGGCTACTGTGAATTACCGTTTTTAGCTGAAGAGAGACCAGAGAAACTGCACATGATAATTATACGAAAAATACCTCAATTATCACGCGCACTACTTGTTTAGCTGTATGGGCACTCACTGTTGAAAACACAAAAATTGCGGGACAGCGAACAACAAGTTAAAAGCGTTTTTAAATAACTGACCCAAGTGATTTCAGATCATTTAACCAGTACATCATTCATCCGCCCAAAACAAAAAAAAAATCCGCCTGATCGCAGGTTAGTTAATCCTTTGAGTGTTAATTTATATGCATCACAGATGTGTAACACGACCGGATTCCTTTGTTCGTTTTCCTAATCATGGAAAAATAATCCCATATTCGAATAATTTAGGGAGTTTGCCATCGCGAAAAGGTCCAAAACTTGACGTTTTACTTTCCAAAAGCCATTTTTTTAAAATCAGAAACAGTCAAAGTGAACTTCCACCCACTCTAGATAGCTGTTTTAATTACCTCCTTTAATAAGGGACCGATCTTGCTTGCATGCATTTTCCAGTTGTCTGAGTTCCAAACTCACTGAAAACGAAATAACACTCTCATTGGTCTTTAGTCTGTAGCCTGCATATAAAACAATTGCCACCTTTCGACGACGGTTAGTAAGTCTCGAAACATCTTAATGATTTCCATATAAACGTTCTTGGTCTCAAACATTACTGGAACCAACCCTGAAACATGGGGACCGGGCAGGAGCCCTGGACCGGGTAATTTTGGAAATAATTTTAAATAACAGAGATCAAGTAAGGAGAAATAAAATGCTCCACTACGGATTTTCGAAATGTTTTTGATGTCTCCATTATTGACGAGGCAACAACTTTCAATTGAAGTTTTTCACCCGCACCGGCTACATTTTTTCTCTTTCCTCAACAACGCCCTTTACATAGCTGGCGTGCATCATATATTTGCGTTTAAGACGTTTGACATTGCCAAAAAAAAGGTTTTTTGGAAATAACAACTGAAAAATAACATTACGGTAAAGGGAGTTTAGAAAAGAGTTTTAAAAACTTTCTATATTGTGCATTAATTATAAATATAGTAAATTTGTACTAGAAAGGAATTTCCAATATTGAAATTTCCAAAAAATTAAGTCGTTGAATTATTAACTAAAAAAAAACAAAACAAAATATCCTAACTGTACACAAACCTAGCCTTTAGAACCCTTTAAGGTCAGGAAAATATAAGCAGAATACTATAAGATAAATACCTTCGAAAGCTATCCCAGAATCCAAGGGAAACGCTCAGGGGACGAAATTGCTTTCGACTGCTCGTGTTGCTGTTATCCATAAAAACAAAGGAGTGCGGGGTTAGCTTTCGATCGGTAAAATGGTTAGAAACCTGGATCCCTGCTGCTGAGTAGAAAACATAAATCGGTCACCACGTACGTAGCGCAGTTTTCGATCGATCCTGATCCAAACAATTCTTGGGGCGGATGATATGGGGTTGCGCAACTATCTCTAGAGTGATAATGTACAATATATGCTGCCTTAAATTTGAGAACGAGCATATAACCATGCTTAAAGCGCAAGTATAAAACCAGCAACACTCGAAAGCAACTAGCATTTCCTTCTGGATAATGTTGACCAGCTGTTTGAGATCGACCTACAGCGCCAATTAAAGTATAGCTGCTAGAAAACTAATATAAGATATCAGGACTGGTTCTGCAATCGGCGGTCATTGAAACGGTAAACAGCTCCATCGTAAATAGGTCAATCTAAACAACTTGACTGTCAGTAATTATGGTTGGAAGTTCTCTTGTTGAAGTGTGTGGAAGTATAATATTTGGATTGACTAGAAGTGTTGCTGAACATTACAACCCAAATGACAACGAGTCTAATCCAGAGTTAATTAGTCTCAATCACCGAGAAAGAACAGGCTTTGAATGGAACATGGATTCCGATGAGGAGTTTATTTTCCAAGAGTACGGTGATAAACAAGTCATTAGAAGTGCAGGTTATATTGGTCAGGCAAGGCTGATAAGTGCGTGCTCTCCAGAAGATCAGCTTGATGAGCATGTGCAGCAACCACAAAATAGAGCGCCCTATGGAGTGGAAACAATTCAGACCATCGCTAATATATTCTCTTTGGAATTCATTGTACTTTGGATTTCTGATTTCTGTATTGACTGCAGCCCTGATTGGAACGTTATCTATCATTGTGTTTCCTATCAAGTCACGTTAGTTTGCCTGGGTCGATCAAAGGACTCCATACCGTGGAAAATCCAATGGTCGAAAACCATTTCTAGTTGCGTGCAATTCATTTTTATTCATCTTTGTTTTTTTGTTAATACTCTGTTTTACTTTAAACCACATCAAATCAAAGGATTGAAAAGACAACTTATCCTGGTATCTTCCGTTTTCTATGTTTTGGATGTTGCTTATCGCATTGTTCTCCAGGCCGTCGGTATTTCCCCATCCGAATTAACGCCTTTGCAAAAAGTCCCTGCAAATGTGCTATTTCTTTTCAGTTTCGGCGTGCAATCTTGGGTTCTTGCAAGGCAATTTTCCCGAGCTGTCGGAGCAAGAAAATTGACAACGTTTCTTTGGATGATAGGGTCGAGTGCATTTCCATTTATTGTAGCTGTACTAGTTGGTTTCTTCATATATCCAGCGTATGATAAGCAAGACAAAACAGGCAAAATCTATATCGCTGTGTTCACTCCTCTTATTACAGTTGTTCTAAAAGGATCTTCGCGCCTCCTTATGCAGCGTTTATGGAGGATAAGTAATCCGGGAAAAACCTTTGTATTCTTAGTACCACTGTATTATGGGTCTGCCGTGATGCTAAGGCTTCTTCAAGTGGATCTCAATAGTTTGAAAGCTCGAGAAAGCGGTGGCTTTGATCGGAGTCATCCACGGCGTTGCAGAGGTTATAGAGAGAAGTATTATAGTCTTGGTTGACTACATGTACCATCAGTTGTATGAAAGAAGACGACTTTCTTGGGGACGTTTTCGAACCGCTCGACGTGAAAGATTAGCAACGGATATTGCCATAATGAGTATGTTGTATGAAGCAAGCGCTGTTATCTCCGTGAGCGGCTTTCTTCAATTGCATGCATGAATATTTTTACACGGATGGCAAAACAGTACCGCAATTACTTCAGTCGTTTGCGATCACTGCAACAGTTCCACTGGTTATAGAATGGTTCTTCACGTGTTTAAGTATAGCTATCGAGACTCGGTATCAGAACAGGCCAACTCTGGCAGTCTGGCGAAGGCAATGGAAAAGACACTTAATAGTTGCTACATTAAATACATTTGTGATAGCTTTATGGGCAAGTGATAGTCTGATCCTTGCTATCGAGGGACGATTTCCAACTGTTAAAGACTACTGCGAAAAGCCATTTAGCCATTTATAGTCAGAAGTATAAGTCTCGTAGCGGTCAGTTCGAGTTTGCATTGACGAATTGTTTCAATAAGCACATTTTTATTTACAGCATGGAAAATGTTTAGATTAAAACTGATTCACATAAATTAGTTCTGATCTTCTGCTTTGAAAAGCGTCTTTCTTGGGGAAGTTTTCGAACCGCAATCGACGTGAAAGATTAGCAACAGATATTGCCATAATGAGTATGCTGTATGAAGCAGGCGCTGTTATCTCCGTGGACGGTTTTCTTCACTTGCATCAATAATTTTTACACGGAGAACACGACATTACTGGAGTTACTTCAGTCGCTTGTGATCACCGCAAGAGTTCCACTGGTTATAGAGTGTTTCTTCACCTGTTTAAGTATAGCTATCGAGACTCCATATCAGAACAGGCCAATTCTGGCAGTTTGGCGAAGGCAATTGAAAAGGCTCTTAATTGTTGCAATTGTGAATGAATTGCCGATAGCGATTTGGACAAGCACAAGCCTGTTGATCACTATACAGGGGAGATTCCCCAAAGAGAGAGACTGCTGTGATTTTTCATTTACACATCCTTAGTTTAACTTGTTAATGTTGCCTGGGAGCTTGAGTGCATGCATTACACTAGGGTAAGAGGCTTTACTTTTCGAATCAACTTCAAACGTCAGTTATAATAGGCAACTTTTTCATTTAAGATATGGTTTTCGAAAAGGATCTCATAAACAATGATCTCAGTTTTCGTTTCACAGGAAAGCAACCACCTTTTGCTTTCATGATCCTTTGCGATGCTACCGAACGGCGTTATATTCTGATTGCTGCTGAGTCTGAAGCTGATCCAGTAACTGCCTTATGCTATGGTGCTTGATCAATACGGTGTGATACTGTCGTGAGTAAGTCAACAACGGGCATTTTTTCACTCAATAATGGTAGGGAGTGCTCTCGTTGAAGTGCGTGGAAGTATCATTTTTGGACTGACTCGCGGTGTTACTGAACACTACAACCCAAATGACACTGAGTTTGATCCAGAGACCTTTGGTTT